TATATTATATTATATTATATTATATTAAAAAATAATTACATTAAAAACCAAAACAAAGTTTACACAACAGAAGAAAAAATAAATCAATACAATGAGAGGCAGCAGAACAAAGAAAAATATCTTGCAATAGACGGTGGAAATGATATGAAATTTGCCTACGGTAGAAATTTACCCTCTACCATCACCAAACCATTACCATCAGCTCACAACTCTTGTACACAGGAAGAGCACACACTACTGGTGATTTGTTACAGTTCTTTATCTTAAACATTTCAACCCCAAAAACAGCCTCCACACACATGGGCATAATCATAACAAAAATGTCTCAAAACTTAAATCAAGAGGATCATCAATTTCTGTGTCTGGAACACCACAACAACAACCCATCCTGTACCACACTCGAGCTGATGAAGGCGTCTGTACTTGGATGTGTTTGTATGCACGTGTTTGCACAAGAGAACGTGTTAGATGTGTGTGAGATTATTGGGTCTTGATGCCTCTCAAGGGAAATCAAAACCTTTTGCACCCCGAAGGCGGTGCCAAGTGAAATTACAAGCAGAATGCATACCCTCACACATTCACACACACGCACACACACACACACACACACACACACACACACACACACACACACACACACACAAGGCCACATGCACGAACTCACACCTATACACACTTTTAAATCAGCATCAGAGTAGCCCTCACTAATCTCTATTCTCTCCTCCTCACAGACACACACGGGGATGAGCTTTAATCAGCTATTCTCTTTCAACTGTGTCCTGACAAAAGCAGCCCTCAGAATATTAAGGAGCCGTGTGTGTATGTGTGTGTGGGTGGGGTGGGGGGAGGGGGCACACTGGTATTCCCTATGTTGTGGGACAGTTTTTTTGGCATACACACCTACCTGTAGAGACCTAATGTTACTTATGGGGATGTGACTGGTACTAATAGGGACCTGAGTCGAGTCCCCTTATGGGGAAATATCATTGGTGGATCGGGGGTTAAGTTTAGGACCAAGGTGTGAAATGAGTTTAGGTTAGTTTTAGGGTCAGGTAGGTCCCTGTGAGGTTAGGGTTGGTGATCAAGGTTAGGCTGTAGAAAATAATGGAAGTCAATGTCAGGTCCCCATAAAGATAGCTGTACCAGACTGTGTGTGTGTGTG